CCCTTGCAATTCATTCAGAACTAAAAGCTGCCTGCCATGGTGGCTGTCAGTACTTGTAGTTCATTCATTCACAGGAAACTGAGTAAATGACGCAGCCATGTGGAAAGAGCCCGCATGACTGCGCTGTTTTTGAATTGTGACAGCAGGTGCGGGGGGGATTCCCCATCTGCTGTCACACTGAGGGGGGGATCAGGGTGAGAGGCAGTAGGAGCTGGAATATAAATACAGGTGGAACATGTTACATGTTCCAAAAGGTGATTCTTTATGGCTGGATTCACACTGTAACATTTTAAAGTTATCCTGACAAGGTAAGCGAAAATCGAGATTTAAGAGACAATAGAAGAGCTTTTATACTGCAGCCCTTTTAAGACTCTTCCACACTTCCGGGAGTAGAGAACAAAAAACAAAGCGCCTCAACCTTGTGCAGTACCTCAGTAAACATTTCATAAATTTGATAGATTATACTCACAAGAGTAGCAGTAAAAAAAGGCATATAACATCCAAAACCAAACACAGGGTTAGGAGACACGTGCAAGTGCCATCTGGAAGGGAGATAAACGCTTGGTCAAGCTGACGCGTTTCGAAGGGGTGTCCCTTCTTTCTTAGAGCTCTTGACCAAGAGTTTATCTCCCTTCTGGATGGAACGTGCATGTGTGTCCTAACCGTGTTTGGTTTTGGATGTTATATGCCTTTTTTACTGCTACTCTTGTGAGAATAATTCATCAATAAATTTACCAATTGTTCACTGAGGTAATGCGCAAGGTTGGTGCGCTTTGTTTTTTGCTCTCTACTACAGTCTATATCGAGCTTCCCCAGCTTCATGTTAGAGCTGCATAACCTTTGATCAGTGGTGGATGAACATTTATCATTTTATTCGATTGGCCTTCTTCTGATCCAAGTCCCTGAGTGCAGGAGGTGGTGGATGTGTGACACTTCCGGGAGTGTCAGATGCCTCTGTCCCTGCTGTGATTCCAGTTTCCAACCCTAATTCACTACAGGACACAGCAGTGATGTAGAGAGAGGGTATGCAGCGTGGGGGCACAGGCATCCAACACTCCCGTAGGTGTGGAATGCTGAAGAGTCTGACAAATGCTGCAACTCTGGTACAGAGGGGGAAGGAGGAGACATTGGCCTGCTAGAAAGTTGAGTAGAAAAGCTCTTCTATTGCAGGGACCTTTCATCTTACTTTCTCAAATTGGACAACAGACTTATATGATACCTTTGTATTCCTTGTACTATGTGATGTCCCTGTGCTCAGAGGACTTTGCCAAATATGACAGTTTACTGATACTACCTAATGTATTTCATGGACTCTATTAATGAAATTAGCAGTTATGTATTAAAGCTTACAAGAAACCAGGGGCTAATTTAACTTCCACAGCTTCCTGAATATTCATTTTGGATAGACTGACCCTTTTGAGGTCTGTTTAACTGTTTTTTACATAACTTTCACCAAAGATTTATGCATATTTCCAATTAAATCCAATTAGAAATTTGTAAATCTTGACAGAAAGTTTTGTGGATCTTGTGTTGAAAACATATACAAGTAGACCCTTTTAACTGCACTGAACACCATAAAGAGTTTGCCAGTTTTTTTTTTTTTTTTTATTTCACTATATACTGTATTAAAGTGTTACTAAACCCACAACAGTAAAATCAGTTTGTATATGCAGTAAAGCATGCTTGTTATACTCACTGTGGAACCTAAGTAGTTAATCCTCATTGTGGAAAAAGGCTGTTTGATCCTGTCTTCTCTGATCCTCCCTTTCTTCCACTGTCCCCAATCCATCTGCTGATGGGGCAGAGCCCTGCGTATGCTCAGTTTGGGTGTATTGCTAGAGATTTATTTAATTTTTTTTTGAGGGGGAGGGTGCATGTGATCAGTACAGGGTCAATCAGCACTGTCCAGACAGAGGGTAAGAGGTCATGCAGCCTCATAGGACAGTCAGAGGAGAATGACAACTCCTCCTACAAGCTGTAACCAGTGCTTGGCCAGATACTGACAGAAGTCACAAGACTGCTATATACTGCTGATGAGAAAAGGTATTTAGAAGTTTTATATTTACTAAAATAATTGCATTTACATGTTCTGTGTACTGTGGGAAATCAGATATACTCTTTATCAAAATCAGAACGTAGGTAGATAGTGGTTCAGTGGTTAGCATTCTTTTTCTGCAGTATGGAGCACGTGTACCCTAAATTGGGCAGCATAGTGGCCAAATGGTTAGCACTTCCCCCTGGCAGTACTAGGATTGTTGGTTTGAATGCCAACCACGGCACCACCTGTCTGGAGTTTGCATGTTCTCCCTGTGCTTACTTGTGCTTCCTCCGGGTACTCCGGTTTCCTCCACACTCCAAAGACATGGTGGTAGGTTAATTGATACCCGTCTAAATTGGCCCTAGTATGGATATGTATGAATGTGAGTTAGGAACCTTAGGTTGTACGCCCCTTGAGGGTTAGGGACTGATGTGAATATATATATATATATATATATATATATATATATATATATATACACACACACACACACACAAACACAACACTATAGAAGTACCTGTAGTAGTAATCATAGTAATAATCTGTATATAAAGTGTGCTGTCCCCACTGCTTGATTGGTTTTTTTCTGTATACTCTAGGTTCCTTCCATGATTGAGCAGCATACTGAAGGTTTAATTAGATTCTGAATGAATTGCCCTACGCCAGTGGCTTGTTCCCCTATGGAAGATGTTGAACTTGTATTATTCCCCACCTGTACACGCAGCAGAAAGTTTATATGGCAACTATAAATAAAATGTGCTTTATATTGCCATAAGTATTTGGAAACCTGCCTTTACACACACATGAACTTTAATGGCATCCCAGTCTTAGTCTAGAGTTCAATATTGAGTTGGCCCACCCTTTGCAGATATAACAGCTTCAACTCTTCTGGGAAGGCTGTCCACAAGGTTTAGGAGTGTGTCTATGGGAATGTTTGACCATTCTTCCAGAAGCGCATTTGTGAAGTTAGGCACTGATGTCGGAGGAGAAGGCCTGGCTTGCAGTCTCCACTCTAATTCATCCCAAAGGTGTTCTATCGGGTTGAGGTGCAGGCAATTCAAGTTCCTCCACCCCAAACTTGCTCATCCATATCTTTATGGACCTTGCTTTGTGCACTGGTGTGCAGTCATGTTGGAACAGGAAGGGGCCATCCCCAAACTGTTCCCATAAAGTTGGGAGTATGAAAATGTCCAAAATGTCTTGGTATGCTGACGCCTTAAGAGTTCCCTTTACTTGAATTAAGAGGCCAAGCCCAACCACTGAAAAACAATCCCACACCACAATCCCCCCTCCACCAAACTTTACACTTGGCACAATGCAATCAGGCAAGTACCATTCTCCTGACAACCACCAAACCCAGACACATCCATCGGATTGCCAGAGAAGCACGATTCATCACTCCAGAGAACACATCTTCACTGTTCTAGAGTCCAGTGGCGGCGTGCTTTATACCACTGCATTCAGCGCTTTGCATTGCACTTGGTGATGTAAGGCTTGGATGCAGCTGCTCTCCCATGGAAACACATTCCATGAAGCTCTATATCTACTGTTGTGCTAATCTGAAGGCCACACAAAGTTTGGAGGTCTTTAGCTATTGACTCTGCAGATAGCTGGCGACTTCTGCGCAGTTTGTGCTTCAGCATGCGCTGGCCCCGCTCTGTCATTTTTCGTGGCCTACCACTTCATGGCTGAGTTGCTGTTGTTCCCAGTTGCTTCCACTTTGTTATAATACCACTAACAGTTGACCGTAGAATATTTAGTAGCCAGGAAATTTCACGGATGGACTTATTGCACAGGGGGCAACTTACCACGGTACCATGCTTGTATTCACTGAGCTCCTGAGCGCGACCCATTCTTTCCTAAATGTTTGTAGAAGCAGTCTGCATGCCGAGGTGCTAGATTTTATACACCTGTGGCTATGGAGGTGATTGAAATACCTGAATCCGATGATTTGGAGGGCTGTCCCAATACTTTTGGCAATATAGTGTACTTATTACAGTAATATTATAGTCATGTCCCTGCAGTCAGTATCTTCATTACCTTTCAGGCGTCAGATGTTTTCCCCCAAATGCTCACAAGAACATCATGTTCAAATTGTAAATGAGCTCATTAAAAATGAACTTTGGTCCTTCTTCCCCCTACTGCCATGCTGAAGCCACATCACATTCTCACCAAATTAACAGATCACTATGGGATGTTGAATGTGCTCATAATGTGATCCTTGCCTGTTTAGCTATGCTACTGCTTGGTGTCTAGTTACTTGCCCCCCCCCCCCCCCCCCACATACACACCCTCCAGCTCTGATGAAGAGCATAAGCTGTACTTCTGTGGAATATTGGGACTGGATTGTTTTACATTCACTCGATCCTGTTCTTTTGTGAGTACATTGGAATGTGTTCTCCTCAAAAATTGTACAGTAATGCACTAGACAGGTGTGCCTTCTTTTTGTATTTGTTTCAGTTTGGTACCCCCCTGCCCTAGAGTATCTGTAAGGCTAGATCATATTAATCAGGTGTGCTTTACCATTTTGTATTCTTGATCAGCAGTCAGCACAGAATACACATCATTCTGTGAATGGCCACGGGGAGGGGAGGGGAGCGCAGAGAAATGATACCAGTGCTTCCATCTATGAATGGAACAAGCTGTCAAAACCAGAGCAGGCCAGAAGTACACTGGGAGCTGTACTATGGCAGGAACAAACGTATTCATTTTATGTCACTTTTGAAATATTCTGGCCTTTTATTACAGTCAGGAAAGGTAATCTTTATTTACATGCCATTGTTTACAAAAATTTCTGTGCCCAAAGTTCCATTTTATTTTGACTGAGGCACCTAGGCCTCAATGACATCTGGACAAATTGTTATTTTGAACTTAGTATGGAAGAAGTACATCCTCACAGTATGACACTGCAACTGTTGATTTTTTTTATTATTGAACATTCTCTCTTGATGCTGTATTGCAGGTCCATGGTTGTGGTGAAAGAGCCAAAGCACGAGCCCGGACAAGAATTAGTCGAGAAGGAGTGATCTATGCAGGAAGCGGGCACAAAGACCACTCCCTAGACCCTACAAAGAAAGCTCACTTGCAAAGAAAACTAGATAAAAAACTTAATGAATTGTCATGTCAGAGAAAAGTTAAGAAGGAAAAATAAATTATTTTTGTTTTCTAAATTTTTTCACACTGTGGATTGTTTTCAATTCATCTTGAACCAGAACTGAAGGGTACTTTAAAGTAAAACTGTACATTGGCTATGCAGGGAAAAGCAGTAGGTTCACTTTTGTACTGGTCCCTGTAGTAGCTTGCACTTTCCTTTTGTTCACTCACCTGCCTTTCTGTCCACTGCCAGGAGCAAGGAGAAGAAACCATGTGTAAGTTGATCATAGATCATAGCTGGATTATAAACAGAGGTGAGGGCCCTCTTTTGACTCCTATGATGGCCTGAGTGGCCATCACCAAGCAAGCAAGTGCTGCCACAGGAGGGGAAGGGGAGTGAGTGACATGTTGCTTTACTTTTGTCTTCATACCAAGCAGTTAATGGAGTGGTGGCTGAGTAAAGGGAATGCGATTCAAAGTTTGGGCATTAACCCGTTCCTGCTGGCTGTAACCATATACTGTATGCAGCCACTGGGTGGGTGAGCTTTTACACCATGCAGATGCATATATGCGTCCATAGGGAACAGTTTTCACTGCTGACAGTGCGCTCCCAGCACAGTAACTAAAATATCACAGAAAGCTGCTGATGTATACTTGTGATCTGGCACTTCCAATTTTGTGTTAGCCAACCACAGCAGGCACATGATTGGAATGCCTGCCTTAACATCCTGACATTTAGATTCTCTTAAAGAGGTGGGGGAAGGGGTTAAACAACTATGAATATGCATTTGTTTAAAAAAATGTATTTTAAATTCAGCCTGCATAAACACCTGAATTTGTATTGAAGGCAACCTCTTGCAGTTCTTTTAAAGCAGCGCTTGAGGAGTGACAAGCAGTATTTGGAGCCAATCAGGTGCCCTGCATTCCCATATGTTGACAGGAAAGGAGAGCAGAGAGGTGATCTCATTAGTGTACTGCTGCTCCTTCACTGCCCAATCACTGGCTGAGAGTAGAAAGGGGACCTAGCTGATTTGCTTAAGATTTTAACTACTCCATGCGGTGAATTTTAGGCTGTCCACCTCATCACTGGTGTCACAAGACAGCGTGAGCATTTTCATAGTACCATTACCTTTAAAGGGACAAACAACAATACGAGTTTATACCTGCAGAGATGCTGCTGCCAGGAAAGTGTGGAAAGATCCATTTAGAACCAAAGCTGGGCAGCAGCCTTGCAAAAAATAAATACTCTCTGGGTGATCAATGTACATTGCAATGATATTAACAAACTTTTTGTTGCTGATCCCTACCTGTTTCTGCTCTAGAGACACTGTAGCTGATTGTTTCATTATGTCAATATTCAGAGTGAATGTGAATGGGAGTGACCTTTTCATTAATAATAAGCCGCTACACTTGCATTGTTCTAATTAGGAAAGTTGCAGGGTCTGCATCCCTTTCGAAGTCTCTTTGGGAGTATCTCACCAAAAAATTTTTTTTTTTTTTTTTAAGCAGAAGATGTCTAAATCTGACTTGTATCCTAGTGCAGACTTGTGGAAAAATCAGTGAGCCAGTCAAACAAACAGGAACGTCTCCAGGTTGCCTTATTGCATTGAATTTTACAGAAACTTACAGCACTCCAGTTTGAAAAAGAGGTAATTTTTAAGAACATTAAATTACAACATGGCTTTTGTGTAGCAATTGTATATGCAATATATACGGAAAGGTTTCTTCACAGTAAGAGCTGTGAAAATGTGGAATAGACTCCCTGAAGAGTTGGTTCTGGCCAGCTCAGTGGATTGCTTTAAAAAGGTGTGTGGATTCTTTTCTAGATACGCAGAATATAATTGGATACTAACATTTATACGTAAAGTTGATCCAGGGAATATCCGATCGCCTCTCGGGGGATCAGGGGGGAATTTTTTTCCCCTGCAGGAGCAAATTGGATCATGCTTTGCTGGGTTTTTTTTGCCTTACTCTGGATCAACTGTGGGTATAGGATTGTTTTTTTTATTTTCATTTTTTTTTTTTTTTTTTTTTTTAATGGTTGAACTAGATGGACTTGTGTCTTTTTTAATACAGACTAAATATGTATGATATATATATATATATATATATATCTCATACATATCTCTCTCTCTCTCTCTCTATATATATATATATCTATATCTATATATATATATATATATATATATATATAGATATAGATATATTTCCCTTTAATTCTGAAATATAAATTTTGACCCCTATCAAGCCAAAACATTTTTTAAAGAATTGCAAAGCTTTCACAGGGACAAAAACTGGAAATTTGATAACCCTTGTTCTTTAAAGTGGTTGTAAAGGCTTAAGGTTTTTTTTTTTTTTAATCTTAATGCATTACAGTGACAAACCCTCCATTGTCAGATCTCCCCAGCCCCCTTAATACTTAACTGAGCCCAATCTCAATCCAACATTGTGCCTGAGAGCAGCAGTGTTTTTCTTTTCTCTCTCGCTCTCCTTACTGAACATGGAAGCAGCAAGCAGCAGTGGGGGCCATTGGCTTTTGCTGCTGTCAAACAAATTCTGTGATTAGGGATCAAGGGGTGGGACCAATCCGCACTGTTTGTGTCATTAGACGAATGTAGCCCGGTGGCTTTCTATGGGGCACCCTGAAGGGGGAAGGAGCCAAGAGCACCATTGGAGGACCCTAGAAGAGGAGGTTTGGGGCCACTCTGTGCAAATTTATTGCACAGAGCGGGTAAGTATAAGTAAAAAAAGCGCAGTGCTAAATATATATATATATATACAGTTGTGTTCAAAATAATAGCAGTCAGACATCACTAACCTGATCAATCACTGTTTTTGGTAGAAATGATATTTCTATATGGCAAATAATTTACTAGCAGGTGTAGTAGAGTAATATAAATCAAACAGACCCAACAGTCATGACATGCATGCTGCTGATTCTGTGTAATTGAATCACTAATTGAAAGGGGCATGTTCAAAATAATAGCAGTGTGGAGTTCTATTAGTGAGGTTATTCATTCTTTGAAAAACAGGTGGGAATTATTGCCCTTATTTAAGGAAGGAAGGCAGCAAATGTTGTACATGCTTGTTACAGTGCATTTCTCTCTGAAATTCTGAGGAAAATGGGTCGTTCCAGACATTGTTCAGAAGAACAGCGTACTTTGATTAAAAAGTTGATTGGAGAGGGGAAAAAACATATAAAGAAGTGCAGAAAATGATAGGCTGCTCAGCTAAAATGATCGCAAATAGAAAACCTGTGGGGTGACATCTAAAATCCAGTTTCTGAGGCAAAACCAAGAAATAGAGAAGAACTGTGGAATGTAGTCCAATCATCCTGGGCTGGAATACCTGTTCACAGGTGCCAGAAGTTGGTTGACTCCATGCAACACAGATGTACAGCAGTTCTCAGAAACAGTGCTTATACAACTAAATATTAATTAAGTGACTCAAAGGAAAGCAAAAATCTTCAAACATTTTTCAGTTTATATAGTGAATGTTTGAGTTTGTAAAGAAGAATACAAACACTGCTATTTTTTTGAAGTCTAATATTCACTTTTCTTCAATTTTTTAGAGGAACAACACAAATTTGATATATTTTTCTTCATGTTTTGATTTGGAATAGAATGTGTAGTGTTCCCAATGCATTTTTGTGTATGGAAATAAAAGCTATTAGAAGGATTTTGAGCTTTATTCACTTTTTTCAACACACTGCTATTATTTTGAACACAACTGTATATATATATATATATTGCGGAATGGTAAAGTGCAAGACATAAAAGTGCAAAAAACATTAGTAAATGCAAAATCTAAAAGTCAAACAACCGCGGAAATCACCCAGGTAGACTTCCTAAGTTTTTACAGCTTTTCATGGGACTCCTTGGGTGTTTTTTTTTTTTCTTTCCTTTTTCCATGGTTAGGTGGTGGTCTCTCAGTGGTTTCTCGGGAACATTGGCCACTACTTTTCTGCTGTTGTGGGAGATTTGGTGGGGGGAGGGGCCTTGGGGTTACCTCTTATCTACATGCTGATTTCTTTATTAGAGGGATCGGTTGCATTTTTTACTGCCAATTGTTATGTTATTGGTGGGTTGTTGTTGGTTCCAGGGAGTGTCTTTGCGCCCTCCCTGATTGGAAGACTCTTCCCTGAGTTGTTTTTCTCCGGGTGGATCCATTCCTTTGCAGGGCTATTGCTCTGCTATTATGGTGTGAAGTTTGATTTGCTTATGTTACAAAAGTTTGTATATCACCTTCGGTTGCTTGACATGAGGACTTCTTTATTCCAAATGTCGCTTTTTCCTTCCTCTCCTTTCTTTATTGTCCTTCCTCTTTTTTTCCCTCTTTTTTTTTTTTCTCTTCCCCAGGGTCAGCTGTAGGCGTATCTGGATCCTTTGGACCCTTTTTATGCTCAGGTGCGGAGGGTCCCCATTTTATATAGCGTTTTAATTGCCGGTTATGTCTTCCCTACAGTCTCATAGCGGAACTATCCATCTACTTTCTCATAACGTTCAGGGGGCTCAACTCCCCCTCCAAACGCGCATAAAGGCCTTTAATTCATACCGCTCTTTTGGGGCGGACATAGTTGCCCTGCAGGAGACACATTTCCCACCTTCATTTACTCCACGATACGTACATAAAGATTATACTGTCTGTTATTTTGCTAATGCCTCGGAGAAGAAACGGGGGGGGTTGCCCTTTGCTTATCTCGCTGTCTTTCCTTTACCGAATCTAAAGCTGTCCGGGACAAGGAGGGACGGTATCTTCTCGTGAAAGGTCACCTGGGGGGACACTTGATTACTTTTTTGATTTACTACACTCCAAATACCAACCAGGTGGAATTTTTCCATTCCCTATTGAACTCTATGGCTAGCGAACTTGAAGGCGATGTCATTCTGGCTGGTGACTCTAACTTGGCTTTAGATCAGATTTTGGATTGTTCTCGAACCGCCGTGCTTCAGCCTCCTTCTAGACAGAGCCGTAAATTGGCCCAACTATTGTATCGATTTGACTTTGTTGATGCTTGAAGAGAAGCTAACCCAAACTCTCGAGACTATTCCCATTTCT